TGTTGTCGTATTTTTTTTTGTAATATCCGTCTAGTATTTTTTTTTACTTTTTTGATTTTTTTATTTATCTATATACCTACCTATATTATTATATAAAAATGAATCCCTTTATCCCTTAGTCACGGCATCATGCGTGAGTGGCTGGACCGATTACACTAATTCTTTTTTTTTTTGTTGTAATTATTTATTACTATTAGAAAAAGGTTGTTATGACTTAAAAAAATCCTGCATCCTAAGGGAACGGGAGAAAACGCGAAAAAAATACTAATATTTAAAATTATAAAATTTAAAAACTACTTACAAAAGAAAAATTAAAATAACTATTTACAAAGAGCATCAAAAAATGCTTCGCATCGATGTCAACTAGGGCAGTGCCCAGAAGGCTGGCAGCATTGCCACGTTGTATGACAATACTTATCCTCTGACCGAGGAACAGACCAGCCCTCTGGGACGCAACTTGCGTCGACACCCTTGCACCTTCTCATCTTCCAGTAACGGCGGGTTGTGCTGGTTCGGCTGCTGCCTCTGCAGAAAGCCTCAAATTACGCAAGTACCTTGCAGGTTTTTACATTTTTGAGCCGTCTGGGGTTGAGATTAAGACGCTAGGTCCGTTGAGTCCGAGTGCCCATAGTTTATTTAAAAACTAGCGACCCACCCCGGCTTCGCACGGGTGCAATATACATGTATTATACATATAAACCTTCCTTAAGAATCATTCTATCTATTACAAAAAATGCATCAAAATCCGTTGCGTAGTTTTAAGATATTTTAAAACATTAGACGCGTATTTTTTTTTTTTTCAAAATTAAATACTTTCGACGATATATGGACTTGAAATATCGTGTGACGTCACGATTTATTACATTTTATATGGTAACGTGACGAAACGACCTCCCCCTCCTTAACTTAACTCCATTTTATCTAAGTATTGTAACCTTATGTGAATATAAAAAAATATAAAAAATATTAGACACGTAATGACTATATTTTTTAATTACGTAATGACTATACTATACACGTAATGACTATATTTTTTAATTATCTGACGTACTAATTATATTTTTAATTTTTATACCTGGCAATTACTCTATTGTGAGTTTCATTGACTCCAGACTCCAGACCTCTAGAGACACAATTTCCAAAGACAATTTTTGTAAATTACCACGTGCGTCAGTCAGCAGCACCCCCCACCCCAACCATTCTATTTAATCAAATCTCTGAGTGCTTCATTTGTCGTCGATACGAACGGTCGTCTACCATCATCGCTGTCGAGTTTGTCGCGGAGACCATTGCTGTTTACTATCAAGTTTTTACTAAATTGCAGTTACCTACCTGAGTGAAAAAAAGTTTAAAGCATGTTGGACAAATTAAAAACGGCTGTCGATGAGATTTCGGACGCGGACACAAATACCACGCGTGGAAAACTTAGTGGCGGTCCTATACAAGTTTACAGTCTCAGCTGTAGACGATCGGAAAAAATCCTACGAGGCAGACACCAAGGTGACATTTCTAAAACAACAAAATTCTTAAGACACGAGAATATCGCGTGCAAATTTGCAAATTATTACCGTAAAGGTAATTTTTCATATTATATCAAGATGGTCAGAACTGCTCCTACGACGTCAGAATCTAACGCAGATTCCGTTTGTGTCATTCAAGAACTGTGGTTGGATTTCCTCAAAAGTTTGTCAAGTTTCAAGGTAACGGGGGACGTTGTGATGGCGGTGGGAATTTTCGCTATAGCCACAACTGTAGTGGCCTTCTTAATGGTGATTCCATTGAGAACTGTTAGATTAGGACCATCTGTGATACCAATGTGTGAGAGAACGTAAGTGATATTAGTGCTAAAGACTGTTTTTTAAAATATAAATTTTGAATATTATGTTGTGTTTAACGGTTGTATACTTAACCTCAAAAACACCACGTGGACACAAAAAGTTGAGACGTAACTTAGATATTTATAAACGTTATGACGTACCTTACGAATTTATTTAATAAACGTTAATTTTAAATTAAGATAAAGTGCTATTATCTAGTTGTTAATTTTGACTACCTATTGTAACGACAAAATATACCTAATATGTGAAAAAATAGTGATGTGATTAGATAATTATTATTTGTAGAGTACCTCTGTGTTAAATGACATGGATTTTGTGCTTGTAATTATTTTTATACAACTATGTTGTAAATGTTAATCAATATAATACCTGGACCTTATTCCATAAGAATCATGTGATTTAGCAGTAGTATTTGACTTTTTATAGTAGAAAAGACTAACTTTTGTGATTTATTTTTAAGCCCCGTATCATACTGTACAGTACATATCTGATAATACTGTACAAAATACATAAATAATTAAATGTAAGGTACCTTTTGTGTAATAATGTAGTTAAGTTCTAATCAAAATAATAATTCATAATTAAAATTACAGTAGCATTGTGGTAACTTTGTTCTGTATTGTGTATTCTATAGTGGTATGAACAAAAAATAAAAGTTTATTTATGTAAAAATGTACTTGTTTTAGTTATATTTGTAGTCCCAAGTTATTTAGTTGCTCATCATCAATCTTGAACTAATTTATTTCACATTCCGTTCATCATTTTCAACTCCGTTCATTTGGAAGTGGAACGTTGAATAAACCACCATTGCAGTGCAGAGGGCTTTTTGATGACTATCAGTCCTTTAATATTGTTTTGTCCTTTATAAAACAATGATAACTTTTTATTTTATCTTATTTTTATCCTTTACATACATTTTTTAACCACATAGGTACATACTTAAACGCCAATCATTGGGACTGGTCAGCTCCAGACTGTATGATATCATTGTCCTTAGGGTTATTTTCTTTTTAGATATCTCAGACTGGATTTTGGTGTTACATTGTTCTCACACAATTAAACCAACTAAACTGTGTGCTAAAAATTATATTGTGATCCTGATTGAAAAAGAGTAACCCATGGAGTTTCTTGCTTGTTCTTCTCCATAAGAATCTACACATTGGAATGAGCAAATATCTTCACTTTAAATTTTTTGTTGACATTCAATAATGCCTTCAACGAGTAATTGAAATAAATGATTTGGACTTTGACTTCACTTTGCATACAATTAAAAACCTCTTAACACATTATACATCATTGGGGTCACAGGTAACCAACATGGGGAAGAATTTGCCTACAACAATTTTCTATTGGCAGTTGAAACCTTAAAATTCTATCTTGGAGTTAATCAGTTTATTTCTTAATAATAAAAATAAATTATTTTAAGGATACTCACCCCATCAGGTTTCAAACTCTTCATGACTTTGTCAAAGCAGCCGGGCAAGTCATTCACCCAGTGCAGAGCTAGAGATGACACGATCAGGTCTACGCTGTTCTCTGGAAACTGGAGAAACAATAACATTAAATATACTGTTTTTCTTTATAGTTTTAAAATTTTTGAGTTCTTTTTATACATAATAAACCATGCATCTACACCGCATTTACTATTTGTCGATCAATGGTTCCAAGTGTTCCTCAGCAATATCCGACAGTGAATAATGTGTTGCCATGTAAGTATAAGTCAAGCAAAGCGTAATGTTACCTCAATACGATAAAATCTTTAAAATGAAATTGCATTAAAGTTTTTGTTCATTGTATTTTGTTAATTTATGATGTAGGCAGTATGGATGTGTGTGTAAGCAACAATCCAGGAATAGTCTTGTTAGTATTATATGTACTATAAGTTAGATTATTTTTATTTTTTATTTTATTGATTTGGCTCACCAACAATTGATTACACACTTATACAATATAGGGTTACATTTACGAAAACTTAAAAACTAGTGCATCAATCTATTATAGGTAAGCACAACATGCATTATATACTAAATGGTTTACAAATCACTATGATCAGAGACAGGCAAATCCAACCATTGACATGGATTTAACATTCAAAATAACTAAGAAGAATTAATATTAGCGTATAAGGCTGACATACCTTTGTAAGGGTCAAGTCTAAGAAATAAAGATGATCCACAAAAGTTAACTGTGGTAGAATCGATGTAAGTACAGTAACTGTACTGTTTTGCATTGGATCATAGGCAAACGAGCATAATGGTAAAATGATTGACACTATCTCTAAATTCTGCCTGGCGTTCTTAACTGATATGAAGTGGATTCTATGTTTAATGTGTCGATTCATAATCATCGTGAAAAAAATTCCTGTTATTATTAGGATAAGCCGGTAAACGAGCAGACGGATCACCTAATGGTAAGCAATTGGCGTCTCTCATGGACAATTGGAACACTGGTGGCATTACAAGTGTTTTGTCGGCCTTTTGGGGATTGGGGCAACCTAAACCCAACCCCGGTAACATCATCGACATGACGAAACACAATGCAAGCTCTGTTTCACGTCAGTTTTCTGTAAAGCAATGCCACCACTCCGGTCAAGCGGGGGCACATTCGGGCCAAAGAATGGGTCCCCACACTTAAACTTGCCTGTATTCTTTACTGTGTTACCTCACAATAAATAGTTAACACAAACAAACTCACATCAATATTCTCTTCATCCATAACTTTCTTTTCAAACTTAACTCCGTCGCCAATGATAGCTTTGTCCAGGTGTGTCTGCGAAGTATCACACAACGTAACCTTCTCTACACTGTCCGGTAGCAAGTGGCGAGATACGTAACCACGACTCGCTCCTGTAACATGGTGAATCATAGTCAGCATGAAGATATCCACTGGGGATATGTCTCTATAGGATTCTGGTGTGTATTAAAATATTATATCAGTTTTCCACCGCAAAACTTGAAAATATAGTGGATGATTGATATTTTAGTACATTTCCTGTGGATTAAGAATACAAGAGAGATGTTTCAATAAGGAAATACCAACTTTACCTGTATTATCATGTTACAACATGTAAAGAATAAACATTAAATTGAATTTCATGACAGAATATGCAAGAAAAACAATGTTTACCATTGCTATAACATAACTAAATGCTGAAATATTATATTAGAACCACTAACCAAGTTCCACAGCATTTTTAAACACTCGCTTTATGTCCAAAATACGATCAGCGGTCCTCCAACCTATCTCTTCCTTAATATACTCAGCTAAGTGATAGTCCTCCCTTCTGGCAGATCTTTCCCTCTGCAAAGCCTTCGCTTTTCGATCAAATATATTCATAGTACGGTACACTGAAGATGCTGTCTTCTGTTTAGCAGTTTTAGTAGAACTATTTCTAACCAATATTTGAACATTATTACGTAAATATTTTGTCTCATTTCGCATTACACAGAGCCTAGATAGGCATTTGAGGAGGTGAGTTTGTGACATTTTTAGTAAATCCTTGTATTTTGCTGTCTATTTTTTAAGCATTTTTTTATTTTATTTACTTCACGAATTCTAATAAGATAAAATATTTTGAGGTTATGTTTTTAATCTGAGAAGTGTCAAGCCAATACTTTTCGTTCTAAAGTATTTTCTACACTGCTGCGCAATCTGAGGTCTGAAGTCTGGCGTCTGGGTGAGAGCACTCACTTGAATTGGTAAGTACTTTGACTAACCAAGTCAGCTTTGCATAACATAACTTTGAATAAAACTACTTATTTTTTAAGTGTGGAAAAGCCATGCTTGGACCGGCTCGATCGAAGTGATACCACGGCCTCACAAAAAAAATCGATGTGAAACTACGCTTGCGTTGTGTTTCGTCGTGTGACTGAGGTTACTGGAGGCCCAATTACCCCCTCTCCCCAGTCCCCTACAAATTTCCAATTCCCAAAAAATGGGTAACGCACTTTTAACGCCTCTGATGTTTAGGGTGTCCATGGACGACGCCGATTGCTGACTGGCTTATTCCATAAAATAAATATGATTTATTTATTTTCAAAAATATATTTTGAAGTTTATTAATGCTCACTACTCATTTATTTACCATTATCTGCCTGTCTTGAATACAAATTTTGAATAACTCAATTTAATTAAATGAGTAAAGAGTAGCTGAACACATCGAATAATACTTGACTGCACGGTTGGTGCGGTGGCGCGCAACTCTTTGTGTGACCCACATCTATTTGTGCCGGGTTTTTATACCAAAAAAAAATTAATAAAACAGCACACATTATCAAATATAAACTCTGGCATGTGAGCTAATTATAAAATAAGAATCACCCACTCATAACATCAATGCAATCATGGTGAATGGTACAGTGAAGTAAAGTTAAATTAGAATCAAAACAGAATAAATCGACTTTATTCAGTTGGTTTTACGTAGTGTAGAGTTGATAGTAAATAGAGTGCCATCCATCATTTTAGGTCTCTAATCTTAACTACAGTCTAGTTGAAGTTGGCCCTCGGACTCGGACTCGCTCTCCGATATAAAAAACGATTTCTGAACTGCACACACTATGTCAAACGTTCTTTATTTATCTGTCCTATCTTCTGTCAAATTCAAGTTGGAAAGTCAGCTGTTGTGTTAAAATCGGCGAATTTGTTGTTGAAAAATACCTGTTAATAATAAAAGTAGTAAATTTATTAACATTTATATAAATCAGATCTTATCAATCGCTTCAAAAGTAAGTTATTCGCTTCTTATTTTCGACATACTGGGCAAACGGCTTATCGGCCGCTTATATAACCTTAAAAATTGATAATATATTTTAAAAATATGTTTAAAATACCTTAAACTGCAATCAGCTAAACTTTTAGTAACATAAATGTGATCTCCAGGCCCTGTGCCAAATGACAAACTTCGTCTTAAGACGATTTATTTCTGCAGAATTAACATATCCCTGCTAATATTGATGATGAGGGCAGAATCATAAAATTGTTTAACAAAGAGTAATGTTTGAGTAATTGTTTAACAATGAGTCTCTTGCTGTTATTCCTCCATAGAAATTTAGATTTATGAGTAAACAAATAGCTTCTCTAGAGGACGGACAGAGCACATCTCAAATTATCCTGTTTATATACTTACAAAAGTGCTTATTAAAAAATACAAGTATGTGAATAATAATTTATAAACGCTGGGTTTATTTCTGTTTCCTCTATGAGTAGTCAGTTAAGAAATGCATTCATCTAGCTTAAACTGTCAAACACCAAGCGGTCACCGGTGACCGCAACCTATTGTTTTTTTTTTTTTTTTTTTTTTT